ACAGCGGAGCTTCTCACTCTGTTCCTCCTCTTCCTCAGTCACTGAAACACACACAGCACCTCATAACTCTCCCATATTCTGTTTTCAGACTTTTTGACTTGACTTAAATAATGTATTAATAATGGTTTTAATATGCACTGTCCATAAATAAAAGTTTATATCAGTCGTAATAATAAAAGATTTTCTTCTTATTGCACATTTGAAAACAAATGTCAAAGTGCCACAGTCGGTTTAAATAAAGAAAACAGAAGTTGTTCAGAGCTGTCCACAAACCCACTGAGGTTTCATGTTTTGTGGTGTTGTTGTCGTCACTGATCACATGAGCTGTGGAGATGTGACAGAAAACAGAGAAGAACAAAACTAAATATAAACTATGATCAAATAAAGACATGTTCAAAATAAGATTTCAATAAAACTATGACAAAAATGACCAGTTTGGACAAAAAACTGTGCTACAATTTCACACAAACAATTGATACTTTGCAAAGACGTCGCACTGGGGGTGTTCTACATGTATGTCTATTGTGAAACATTCAGCGGTGACCTCTGGTTAAAATCTAACAGAGTAACAGAGCAGTGCCTCCAGTTAGAATCACTCTCCCAGAGAATGTTGATGAAATCAGCTGCAAAGTATCAGTAAAGTTCAGGTGTGTTAAAGCACTCACATGAAACCACAGACAGATGAACTGAAGACTGAGAGATTAATGATCCTTCTTCTCTTTCAAACTGTTGACAGTAGAAGGTTCCAGCCTCCTGAGGACGGACGTGTTGGATCCTCAGACCACACTGTTCTGTCAGTGTGAGACGCTCGGACAGAAGCTCAGAGACTCTGGAGCCGATCTGTCCCAGAATGATCAGCTCCACAGTCCGTAATCCATCAGCTGTAACAAAAGTCCATGTGGTGTTTCTGCACAAACTCTGTCCTGGTTCAACATTGGGACAAGTTAAAACAACGTCTGCTCCTTCTCTCACCAACACAGACCGAGACAGAGACGAATCTGTGGAGAAAAAAAAGTGACTTCCTTCTGTTCTATTTCTCTATCAGCAGGGGTCAGTCATAACCAGAACTAAACCAGAACTAAACCAGGACTAAACCAGGACTGAACCAGGACCAAAATAAAAACTAAGCAATCAAAGAATTTACAGGATTTAAAATAATCTGGAAGCAAAAACATATGTCTGACTGTGCAGTAAAGAATCAGGAGCAGGAGCACTGGGGTGTCCTGTCCTGTGTCCCTGTCCTGTGTCCCTGTCCTGTGTCCCTGTCCTGTGTCCCTGTCCTGTGTCCCTGTCACCTCCTTTTTCTCTGAGATCTACACTTCTGCTTTTGACCCACACCTTCTGTGAAACTGTCTTTAGCTCTGTTCTAATTCCGTCTTCCTCAGAAACACACATTTGTGTTTCACAGTTTAAAGACGTCATATTCAGCTAAATTGATTTTCTAGAGTTTTCTATCATGTTTTAATGTTGTTCTCTCGTCAAAAAACCTGCCAGAAGAGAAAAACCTGCCGAAAACCTCCTCTGCTCCTGTCAGTGGGGATCAGTTACAACCAGAACTGAACCAGATCTAAACCAGGACTGAACCAGGACTAAACCAGGACTAAACCAGGACTAAACCAGGTCTGAACCAGGACCAAAATAAAAACTAAGCAATCAAAGAATTTACAGGATTTAAAATAATCTGGAAGCAAAAAGTAAAACATATGTCTGACCTGCGCAGTGAAGAATCAGGAGCAGGAACACTGGGGTGAACACAGCCATCGCCTCCTGTGTCCCTGTCCTGTGTCCCTGTCGTGTGTCCCTGTCGTGTGTCCCTGTCGTGTGTCCCTGTCGTGTGTCCCTGTCGTGTGTCTCTGTCTCCTCTGTGTCTCTGAACTGTCCTCAAAAGTCCTGTCACCACCTTTATGTCTCAGATCTGTACTGCGCTTCTGCCTTTAACCCACATCCTCTTTGAAACTGTCTTTTAGCTCTGTTCTAATTCTGTCTTCCTCAGAAACACAGACGTCATATTCTATAAAACACTCACTGTGTGTTGAGTCCAGCGCGGTGACCAGGCTCAGGCTGTGACAGAGGTTCATATGGAGAACACACTGCACACTCACTGCAGCCTGAATAAAACGCCACAGAAATGTTATTGGATCACAGATTCATGTGTTTATAGGAAATAATTTAAGAAAATATATGACTTACTGTTATGAGTCTTGGCCCTTTGATGTATTATTGTAAGCGACATTTCTATTTCCTGTCTCACTCCAGACTTTTATTGTGAAAACGGAAGTGAGCTCGGGCAGTTCTGAAAACGTTCTACTGCACCGTGTGGTGATGAGACGGAGCTGTCAGCTTCTCCTGGAGGCAGCCTGAACAGAGGATGTTAAGAAAGAGGCTTGGAGAGTTAGAACAGGTCTCACATGTCTCTTTATTTGAGTCAGGCAGGTTCAGGTCTCAAGATTCAAGTTGATTCAGCATGATTTTGCCTACACGGCGTCTCTCAGTGCATCAGTCGTCCTTCGACAACGCGGTCGGCGTTTCCCCCACTCATGCACAGAAACACTGGGTGCCTTTTATACCAGCATAACTGTTGAGTTAACATCTTTATGGAAAAATACACAGCAGTTTTGTCCCAACACGTGTCCCATAACAGACTGACAGATGCTAAAGGTTGGAGACACACCCCTTATCTGTCCCATATACATTCACCATTGACATCATATCCCAACCTCATGGACACTCCAAAGTCCAAAAACATACACAGCATGTAACAGGGCAAATTACAGGGCGTATTAACATATGAATGAAACTTTAAAAACACAGGGTAGAAGCCCACAACACACACACACACACACACACAGACACACACACACACAGACAGAGACAGACACACACAGACACAGACAGACACACACAGACACACACACACACACACACACACAGACACACACACACTCATCCAAGAAATCCATAAGATTTCATAACTATTGTGTTCTAGATGTTCCAAATCCCAAATTGTGCTTGTTTATGTGCAGAAGATACAATGTGAAAATAGTTAGTTTGCATGAGATGGGCCCTTTAAGTCTGTGAAGGTTCCAGACAGACCCTGGACTCAGAGTGTTCATAAGGCCTGGGTTATTCCTCTGTTGTCTGACGGGGACACCACTGATCCTGTGGAGATTCACGACTGCTGCTGCTTTACAACACAATAATCGTACTTCTTCTGTCAGTGAGGTGTGGGTTTTGTTTTTGGTGGAAGTGTCAAAGAGGACCAACAATGTGAGATCTAAAATCAGAGAGCTTTATTGAGTCTCACACAGGTAAATCTAGCAGCATCCAAGCTAAAATGAACAGCGTAAGTACGGCCCCTCCAGAAAAAGGAAAAGGAGAGCCCTGAGATATGTTTGTTTACAGTTTTTATAGTGTGTATCAGGGCACCCACAGGAACTCAAACGCCAGTGGATTCTATTGTATTCTATGTGTGTGCGTCTTATTCGTATTCACGCGTCATTAACTTTTATTTCATTTTGTAAAGTGCATTGATATATGTGGATACTTAATAGAGGATAAGCATCTTATAAAAGTGAAATTGCACACAGTTTATGCGGCTTTGGGCTGCGCGCTAGTCCACCCCAGGCTTCGATGTCCAGTTCCTCCTCTGTAACACCAGGGGGCGCAGTGAACCGGAAATGCTGCATCAGAGTCACAAAGAAGATAAAGAGCTCCATCCGGACCAGACCTTCTCCAACACAAACTCTGTGACCTGCAATGTCAAAGTCCCAAAGAAGCGAGTCACATTTAAGTGTATTTTAATGGGGTCTGATATCAGCCTATGGGTAGTTTTCAGATTCTCGAAAGTGATAATGTCATGTCTGAGATGAGGCTATAGTTAGTTGAGTGAGCCCAAAATGATATCTCTCTTGCACAAACATAAACGTGGGAGTGAAGTGTCTTGCCCAATTGCACAACAGCAGCATGCAGGAGTCAGACATTTGGATTGCTGGGTGACTCCTCTTAGCTCTACAATTCCAATTTTGCATTAAAAATATGACTCTGGGATCAAGTGTATTCTGACATCCCAGTTCTAAAGATTGGTTCATTTTACTAGAGACTTTACAGACCTGCAGAGAAGGGCATGAAGGCGTCTCTCTTCCTGAACTTTCCGTCTTTGTGGAGGAAGTGAGCTGGATAGAAACTGTGGGGCTGTTCCCATTCGCTCTCGTCAAAGAGCACTGAGGCCAACACAGGATACACTGTGGTCCCCTGAGGTCACATGTAAAGTGTTTGAGTAGTTTACGAGATCAGATATGTTTAAAAATGGACTTTTACCTTCTTGATGAAGTGTCCCTGGAAGGTGATGTCTCGATTCGTTCTGTGGGACAGGTTCATTGGGACGACGTTGGCCATTCTCTGACTCTCGTGGATCACTGCGTCGGTGAACGGCAGGTGTTTTCTGTCCTGAAGCTGCACCTGTCGAGTTCCGATCACCCTGACGATCTCCTCACGGACCTGATCTGAGAGACACAGCAAGAACCAGTAGTTTATACAGTAGACACTGTACAAAACACTGACCTCAGCACCTAGAAAACCTGGACTCCCTGCGAACCTACGGCAGGAGTCTGTTTCTGGACTTCAGTTCACCAAGTGCTGCACCACAACTTTGTAAAACTGATACCACCCTCACTGGGCTCACTTCAGACGGCAATGATTTAGCACTGAACGATCGTTTTGGACCGAGAATCGCGACCTCAGACAACACGATTTTGGGAGCCCAAAGCTGTTTTTTTGTTTTTTTTGTTTTTTGCACTGCTTCTAAAGGCCAATTTAATTCTGAGTCGACTCAATGCACACTTCCGCCATCACCTTGTCGCCATCGTATTTCTTGGGGTTCACATCTCTTCGGATCTCTCCTGGTCAGTCAACACCTCAGCACTGGTCAAAAAGGGCCAGCAGCGGCTACACTTCCTGAGGTGCTCAGGAAGGAGAAACTAAACACAAGCCTGCTGGTGACCTTTTATCGTTCCACCATTGGTCGCCTGCTGACCTCTGCTGTGACAGTACAGCACTCTCGCTGCACAGAAGCTGACAGGAAGCGCCTGCAGAGGGTGACCAGCACTGTACAGGACACTGTTGGCTGCCCTCTGCCTTCCTTAAGAAAATTATACAACTCCCACTGTCTCAGCAGAGCAAGGAAAATCATTTAGGACAATACACACCCTGGATTCCACCTGTTCAAACTGTTGACTTCTAGGCAGGCACTTTAGGTCAATTCCAGCTAGGACCAATAGACTCAGGGACAGCTCCTTCCCCAAAGCTGTCGCCATAATCAATGAGAACTGTTCATTTCTTTCATTTATTAATTAATTAATTCTTGCACTTTGACGGAGCAGCTCTGAATTTTATTATACTATTGTATAATGACAATAAAGGCTTTCTATTCTATTTGATTTATGGATCTTGCTTCGAGGTCCATGCACCACAAAGTAATTCAGCATCACAACACTAGGAGGCGACGATTTAAACCTGGTGTTCATGTAAAGTTTAACATGAACCATTTCCAACGTGATAGAAGCACGGAAAAGACTCACCATCAGCAGCACATCCTCTGTCACAGAAAGAACACTCATATTCCACTGAGTCGTGTCCTTTAGTCCAACAGAAGCTGAACCACATCAGCAGTTTTTTTTTTTTTTTCAGTTCTTATAGTTTATGTAAATGAGTCATGTGGTTTTAAGTTTTGTTTCTGTAACACGTAAACAAATGTGTCAAAGCTGCTTTAAACACATTATTACTGATTATTGAAAGAAAGAAAAGCGGAGAACAGGAAATGTCTGTAGAACGATGGTAGAGACGCCCAATCACAGCTCTTACTGTCTGCGTAAAATATAGTTAATATGATTAACTGAGATTCAGGAGTGGGACGACGCCTCAACCGCCCTCTTCTTCTCCTCTCACCAGCGAACCACAACTCACCTCGGCCACACCTCTAATTTCTTAGAAGCCTATTTTTAGCAGCATTTCCCATCGTCCCAGTTTGTCTCCACTATCTCGGCCCCACCTTCCCACCTCTTATTTTGTTTGTCTTTCAGTCATAAGAGTCTTACGACGGGGGTCCTGTTCCGGCTGGGCCAATTGAAGATTGAGACAGAGCTCCCACCAAGAGTCTCAACCCGCCCATCTCTGCCCCACTTTGTACATTATTAATAAACTTCTTTGTACTATGTCATCATTGGTGTGGTCCTAGCTAGTGAATTGGGCTTTATGGTCCAGCGTCAAATCGTCAGTTTTGGACTCTGGAATGACATAAGTTTCTGTGATGTTTACAAATGTTCATGTGCACTGAAACTTGATTTGAAAATCAGAAATCGCAATTCAATTTTATCTTAAAATTGTTCAGCCCTACAATAAGTCTTACAGCAGGAGGGAGGTGGACCGGTTGGTGACCTGATGCAGTGGTAACAACCTGGAGCTCAACATCCAGACGACAGTGGAGATAATGGTGGACTTTAGTCAAATCACAGCTCCTCTGCCCCCATTCAGTCAAACAGACACCCCCATCACCATCATGGACTCCTTCTGCTTCCTCAGCACCACCATCACCCAGGACCTCAAGTGGGAGCTCCTCGTCCAGAAGGCCCAGCAGAGGCTGTACTTCCTGCAGAGGGCGGCTGAGGAAAGCCAAGCTCCAGCTCAGATGATGGCGCAGTTCTACACAAACATCACTGAGGGTACTCGCCTTGTATGTGGGGGTACTCGCCTTGTATGTGGGGGTACTCGCCTTGTATGTGGGGGTACTCGCCTTGTATGTGGGGGTACTCACCTTATTGCCTTGTATGTGGGTACTCGCCTTGTATGTGGGGTACTCACCTTGCCTTGTATGTGGGGGTACTCGCCTTGTATGTGGGGGTACTCGCCTTGTATGTGGGGGTACTTGGCCATGTAGAGCAGGCTCCATGTCAGAGTGTTGGCCGTGGTCTCTGTTCCAGCCACATTCAAATTACCCACGATCATGATCAGGTTGCGCATGTGGAACTCACTGTCCTTAATCCCCGCCTCCTGGAACAAAAGACCCATCCTCATGTTTGTTACGTCAGATCACAACAGTTAACAGTTTATCTAGTCAGACTGCTGATGTATGAGATTTAAAATTTCTGGAGCTACCAACTTAAACACAAAAAGCACAAACATTTACGTTGTCTCTGATAGGAAAGAGAGATACTGTTGATCCAGAGGGAACTTCAGGGTTGAAGTTGATATCGCTGCAACATTTACATTTCACATCTTCACCAAGCTCAAAAAACTAAAAGTTTCAAAAACTGCTCAATGTGTGAGCCAAGCAGCCACCAGAGCCACAAACCACTCTGATCCTATGGAAATGTTTTTTATACTTGAGCATCAAATACTTCACAATCCACCTGAGAACCAATCAGATGTGTTGCTGTCTACAAACTTTGTTTGTTCACCTCCAGTCCAGAATAGCTTTGAGAACTGCAGGTGGAATTTACATTAAAAACCTCGCGCCTCACTGCGCTTGTACAAAAAAGTAAAGTAATAATGTCTGTGCAGATACACATTCAGTTTTAAACAAAATATGAAACATATAACCTAGTACAAAATAATGACTTTATTCATTTTTTAAGTTAGTGAGTGGGACGCACTGTGTTTGTCACAAATGACAGTTTCTCACCTCCAGCTGCTGTTGTTTGATGAGAAACGCGTCCACGATTCCTCGGCTCCGGGCGGGGTCCAGCGTCTTCTTTAACTGACCGATTAGTTTAAAGTACAGCTTTTCTTTCTCAACTCTCATCCTGCCGATTTCAGCCCGTTCCTTGGAGACCCACTTCCCAATCCATGGGAAAATCTGGTACAGCTGTTGAGAAAAATAGTGATGTTTTAGTTATAGAATTAAAACAAGACATTTGGAAAACCGAAAAGCCTGGAAAACAGGCTTGTAAACATGGCTGACTCCCCACCCAAAGAGAATTCCTCTAGGAAACCCTGTTTCTTTAAATAAATAAATAAATCTGGCAGCAGATATCCGGTAAGAGGCTCAGGCTTTCTTGTGTCTTTGACCCTGTGTACATCCTGGTGCACAACAATATTCCACAATCTTTGAAATTCCCATAAAGTTTGGTTGCAGCTCAAGTCATTATTTTCTATGGGAATTCTCCGCCGTGACCACTGCTGGTGTGGGGTTTGGAGGTGCATGCTGGGATGGCGTGACGACAACTGCAGGAGCTCTATGTGTCTGTTCTGGACCTGCTCTGCTTCAGGGAAACACAGGACGCTTCTTCAGACGTGGTTTTGATTTGCATCTGTGAGAGGTGAGTGATAACACACTGTTCTAACACAGCGCTGTGTTTAAGGGGATTTTTCAAGTTCAAGTTCAAAATGTTTAGTGTCAATTGTTCATATGAAAAACATAAAGAATCGAAATTGTGTTTCTCACTTATGTGTATGAATGAATAATAATTGTAAATAGTGCAAAGGGCTTATAGTGCACAAGACAAACTTTTTGGGGGAGTCGGGGGTGGGTCTGAGTCTGTGTTCTTTTGAGAGTTCTGTTCTTGGGGAGATGCAGATTCCTGGGAGAGAGTTCAGCATCCTATCAGCCTGGTGGATGAAGCTGTTGGTGAGTCTGGTGGTGCAGGAACGGAGGCTCTTGTCCCTCCTCCTGGAGAGCAGGAGACTTGTGTGCAGGATTCAGCTGGAGGTTGTTGTCTCTGCACCACGTGGTCAGAAGGTCGACCTCTTTCCTGTAGTGAGTCTCGTCACTCTTGGTGATGAGACCCTCTAGAGTTGTGTCGTTTGTGAACTTCACCAAGTGGCTGGTGCTGTAAGTTGTTGTGCAGTCGTGTGTCAGCAGGGTGAAGAGCAGAGGACTGAGCACGCAGCCTTGGGGAGCCCCTGTGCTCAGAGTGATGGTGCTTGAGGTTTTGTTGCCAACACGTTCTGCTTGTGTCTCTGTTGGAGGAAGTCAGGTGCAGAGACCAGCTTGTGGAGTTTGCAGATGAGTTGTTGTGGTATTTTGGTGTCAAATAATGTAGGGTACAAATAAATATACACATTTGCAATGTAGTTTACATAAACTGTTGTTAAATGTTCTTGTTGTTAAATTCTTATTGACGAAATATTAATGTCCACCCCAAGTCTGCTTGCCTACCCATAAAAGTCACTGCATGCAAGTTTCCTGTGAAATGTGCAGCTTCTATGTGCTGTTTACCTGCACAGATTTGGTGATTAACAGTTGGATGCTTCGTCTCACGCTGTACAAGTAGTTCTTAAACTCAGGGTCGTCATACTCAAACCTGTCTCCAAACACCATGGAGCAGATAATGTTAAACAGTGCCGCAGGTATTATCTTAGATGTGTCCAACGGTCCACCTGCAACAACAGAAAATATGACAAATAAAAACTAAAACTTTTCAGGTGGAGGTTTTGCCACCCTGTTGCCCCATTGAGATTTCTATTCCTTAAGTTTTCCACACAATAACATTAAATTTATCTCTATAGAGACAAGCAGCACTCAAACAGGAATGTGTCTGTGTGTTTCCTGATGCCTTCAGCTTCCAGACCTTCTCCAGCTCCTCCTTGAGCCCCTGGTGTTTCTCTAGTTTCTCATGTTCCTTTTTCATGATATTACCATCTCTTGGTGTTGTGATGTTCCACCACCAAGGCTCTGCTCTGTTCTTCTCCACCACCACTATGTCTGGTTGGTCCATCACCATCCTGTCAGTCTGTATCTGGATCCCACAGGATCTTGGCTCAGTCGTTCTCCACAACCTTTGGAGGTGTTTCCCACATTGACCCTGGTGTCTCCAGCCTGTACTCTGCTCAGATGTTTCTGTGACTATGGCTCCACTTGGTTCTGTGGCTCCATGTTTGTTTCCCTGCAGCATCTTACACCTGCAGTTCTGTGCTGGACTGTCTCAGGAGAGTCTGTGCACATCTTACACGTTGGTCTTGTCTGGTGTGGTAGATCTAACTAAGTTTTTATTTATATAGCACTTTTCACAGACATGTCACAAAGACACTTTACAGAGCATTATTCATTTGCTCCATGCCAGGTGATGGTAAGATATCATTGTAGCCACAGCTGCCCTGGGACAGACTGACAGAAGTGAGGCTGCCAATCTGCACCATCAGCCCCTCTGACCACCACCAACACTCACACACACCCCATTCTTACTAGGCAATACGGGTGAAGTGTCTTGCCTAAGGACACAACAACAGTTTTTTTGACTGGTGCCCCCTGTGGCTCCCATCCACGTACTAACCAGGCCTGGTCCTGCTGAGCTTCTGAGGTGTGACAGGATCAGGCTTTGACAAACCGGTGTGGACACAGATCTGGGCCTCTGTTGCTCTGGTGCCCAGGTCCTGCTCCTGTGCTCCAGGGTAAGTGTCTCTGTGTGTCCTTCAGACCCTCTCAAGACATTAGTAGGATTCCTTGATATCGGCCACTTCAGTTCTGTTCTGGTGGTGTGTTCCATGAAGGGCTTGTGTCCCACGATGGTCTCTCCAGCACCTCTTCCTCTGCGCTCCCCTGTCTCTGAGCAGACATCCTCTGAGCACGTCGTCTGTCGGGGCCTTGATGTTCTTATGGATCTTGAATGTTTCATTCTGGTCAGTGGTTTCCACACTCACTAGTCCGTCCTTCGGCCTCTCATACAGCCTCACATAGATAAGTGGAAGCCACAGAACATTTTAAACAATGTATATTATCACTATGAAGACGAGCAGAGAGCAGCAGAGCCACCAGAAAAGTTCCATAGTGCTCCTTTATTATGAATAATACCTTTGAATGACTTGATTCTCTGCAGCAGGTGTCCACACTCCTCTATGATCTTGTCTTCACAGGCCCTCTTCCCCATCCCGAAGTCTCTCAGGTTGGTCAGAACAAAGCGCCGCATCTCCCTCCATGTTTTTCCATTAGCAAAGACAATTCCTGAAAACATTCACAGAAACAATGAGAAATGCACTTTAGTTTGGCTTTATTGGTTTATGTGTAAGTGTGTCAGGCACGGGTGGGCAAGGGCGCCTGAAGGATTATGGGAGGGTACACAAAGCCAAGTGGAAGACAGACCCTCCACTCAGTCTGCACATTTACACCTGACACATGGGGCTTTGGAGGTCCATGTCTCTGTGAAACGGGAAACAGTCATTATTCGTTTTTTTTTTTTTTTTCTTTTTTCATTTAAACACAAAATCAAAAACTAAAAAACAAATTATCTGTTTTTTTCATTTTAAGTTTGTAGAATAATGAAGAAAATAGTTGTTTTTTCGTGTTTTTTTTTGTTTTATTTTGAAAAACGACTGAACGAATGATACACGGATTACTAGGTGGCGCCAGCCTGGTTACAAAAATCTTCATTTGGACGAGTATACAGCCCCAACACTTTCCCCCACCCCTCTGCCATAACAGTAAGTGGGACACCCCCACCCCGACTCGTGAAAACACAAACGGAGGTGTAGGGGAAAGTGTGAGGGCCAAGGGGCGTAATGGGTTTCAGCCTTAGTCTGAGGACCTGTCCAAATGACAACGTTTTTTGGTCAAAACGGAGAAGTTTGCATTGGTTTTGACCTTTCGTCCATACAGAGTCGGCGTTTCGGGATGGCGAAAATTGTGTTTTTTGAGAATGGGTTCCAGAGTGGAGAAATCTGAGAACGCTGGTGCTGTGATGTCGTGTGGACGAGCAAACTGCAGCTTTTGGAAAATGATGAAGTCGCCACCCCGTCATCGCCAGAGTCCTCCGATGCAGCGAAGTCTGTAGCCCTCGAACTGGTCTCCACGAACCGTAAGGTCGTTGCCAAAATGTGACAGGTGCAGCCCACGGAGACGCTCCTGTCGCCCAACAACCGAGACACGCACTAATGCTAATGCTAACAACACGCACCACAGACAATGGATAAATAACAAAGATTACGCACGGGTAATTAAACTGTTGGATTTTGACACCAAGTTATTCCAATAATTCTCAGCCAAATCTTATGGCTAAAAATGAAAATGTATGTTTAACTTTTGCAAAACAAATTGTCTATATTTCTGGAATACATTTAAAACAGGCTAAATGACCTTAAAGTTAAAAAAAAAAAACTGTGATGACATTTGCATTATTAAAGCAGAACTAAGTAACATTTTTACCTTAATTAGTGTGTGTTTGAAGGGTACACTGGCGCCCCCTGCTGTCTCTGGGCGGAAAAAACAGACATGTAACTTTGTCATGTCGTCAGCTCCCAGCGCTCTGGTCTCGTGAGCGCCAAATTGCTTTACGACACTTCTCCATACACACAGGTAACCGAGCTGCAACACTCCCCTTACCGAGACTCGCCGCAGTTCAATATCTAGAGTTTATTTGTGAAGCGTCAGCCATGTCATGACCAGCTCAGAGACAGAGGAAGCCTTTGTCCGAGGACGCAAGAAAAAGAAAACGTGAATCGGACACAGAGCCCGAGCTCACAGGAGTCAATGTGAGGAAGGAGTTTGAGGAATAACAGAGCTCAAGGAAAACGGAGCAAAGCAGATCTGCAGATATTGTTACTGAACACGTAAGTTTCACGTGCATTGCTCCTATCACTGTTATAGTTCTGTAACTTGAGTAATTGTTGGATGTATACAGTTTGTGTTGTCAGTGAACAAAAACAAGTGCAATTTGGAAGTTTATCCCTGACGTGATATCTGACTATGACTATGTTTACACTGAAACGAATCACTGTATCGGAAATGATCTGCATCCAAACACGTTTCTTTGTCTGCAAGTCTTATCTATCCACACAGCTTTGAGCATATTTGTTTACATTTTACAGAAACAAAATTTAAAACCGCATGGCTAATTTGCATAAACTAAGCACTCATAAAACAGGTCGCTATTGTGGTTTGATGCGGTTCAGCTTCTGTCAGACTAAAAGACACGACTCAGTGGAATATGAGTGTTCTTTCTGTGACAGAGGGGTGTTCTGCTGATGGTGAGTCTGTTCTAACTTTAGCCCAGATGTAAAATCAGCCCGAACGTTTAGTAATGCATTTGTGTTAGATCAGCCCGTTTGGAATTTCGAGGGAAATTTTATGTGATATTATTTATTTAAAGAGTGAAATTACATTACCCACCTGAGATATTGTTGTGTACAATGTTCACCAGCTTTGTGAAAACTTTTTTTTTTTTTGGACTTTAGGATAGACTTATTATTATTATTATTATTATTATTATTATTATTATTATTATTATTATTATTAAATTGTATTTATTTATTTATTTTTATTAAATTATCATTACTATTTTCCTTATTTTCCATCTGATCTTAGATCTCTATTTAATTTTTTTTACTCCGACCTTTAGGAGTTTTATGTTTGTTTTATGTTTCCGGTCCGCCGAACTTGAATAAATTATAATAATAAACCCAAGCCCCCAGGTTCCAAAATGGCCGCCCATTCAAGTCAATGGGCTGAGCTCAATGCATGGATCTATTAAAATAACTGGATACAGTATTGAGCTGCCTCAGTTGTTAGCCTAGCCCGGCTGGTACTTTCCGGCTTTTGATGTGGGCTGACGAGCATGCGCATAGTTGCATCTTTTCTCCCACAGGCACACGCGAATGCACGGCGCTTCACGCACGGCCTGGCACGGCTCGTGTGTCACGAGCATGCGCACTCGGCTGTTGACGTGATCACCATCAGAGTGAGAGGAGCTAAAGCGGAGCAGAGCATAGCCGAAGCTAACGAATATAAACTGTTTTTTAAGACAACTGAAGGATTTTGAGCTGAGAAAAAGTTTATGATCTTAAAATAGGTAAAAATCGCCAGCAAATCCGACATTTTTGAAAGCTGTAGGTGATCTGTCAGACGAACACGAGCAGTTTGTGATTACATTGCCTCTATGGGAAAAATCTTGTCTCGGCCCAGGGGATTTTTTCTGCTGAAGTTCCAGTGAGTGACACTACGTCAACTGGAGGCAGCTACAAGCAGCAATACTGTATCCAGTTATTTTAATAGATCCATGGCATGATCCCAGATTAGCCCGGCTAGGTACTTCCGGTGGCCGTGGGCCGACCGAGCATGCGCAGTAGTGCTCTTTTCTCCCACGGGCACACGCGAATGCACGCGACCACACGCACGGAGCGCGGGCTCGTGTATCACGTGATCGCTTTGACCAATCAGAGCGAGAGGAACGAGAGCGGAGCGGAGCGGAGCGGAGCAGAGCGGAGCCGGAGCTAACGAATATAAAGCGTTTTTTTAAGACAACTGAAGGATTTTGAGCGAGAATAAGTTTATGATCTAAAAATAGGTAAAAATCGCCACAAAATCCGATATTTTTTAAATTTGTAGGTGCCCTGTCAGCCGAACACGAGCAGGTTGTGATTACATTGCCTCTATGAGAAAAATCTTCTCTCGGCCCATGGGATTTTTTCGACTGTAGAACCACTGAGTGACACTACGTCAACTCGAGGCAGCTACAAGCAGCAATACTGTATCCAGTTATTTTAATAGATCCATGAATAAACCTTGTTAGTTTTATTTTTCCTGCATTTCCGGCGTTTCCCAGTAGATGGCGCACTATATATACATTGAGGTGCGGCGTCTTCTATTGGCCGCAATGCTTTATGGGAAAGTAATGACAGGAGTCATTTTCCGGGGTGTCTTCGGACCATGAATGAGGTAGAAATGTNAAGCTGCACAGACAGGTCATCAGCATAAATTGACAGTGTTTTGGGAGTATCGTGTTATAAAAGTAAACAAATTACTGTTCCATTGCTTTTGCTGTAATGCAGTATGTGGCATTACAGGGGAGAATTTATTTATATTTTACTTGTACATGAATGTGACGAACACGCGTCACAATGCTTTTTTAACCTGGATTAAAATGGTGCTTTTTTTCATTTTTCTTCATACAAATTCGCTAAAATCGTGGCGATATCAGCAGCGGTGAAACGCCGGAGACGCGCCCACGTAGACCGTCAGGTGACCGCGGGCGAAAGGACCGACGCAAAACTCCACACTCCACATCAGAAAAAAACTGGAATAATGGTGGCACCCCAGGAAATTACTGTTTTTAGGGCCCAGGAGAGATCGCTAGATTACTCAAACATGCATGGATGACTGTAAATCAGGTAGATTTTTGATGATGATAAAATAAATGATGTTGCAGAAAAGCCACTCTTCAATCATTCAGATGTGGTCAGAACTGGATGGACCAGGTCTGGACCGTCTGGACCAGGTCTGGACAGGACTCTCATTCAGCCTGTGGAGCTGCAGGGGGCGCTGTGTGTCTCTGATCGTGACTGAAGGTTCTCCCGACGTTCTCAAACAACTGTGTCCACCTGTCAATCACACACATGTGTCAGACCCTCCCCGTGTGTGTCAGTTTCCTCCCCGTGTGTGTCAGGTGCCCTCCCTGTGTCAGGTGTCATGGTGCCAGGTGCCTCCCCGTGTGTGTCAGGGTCCTCCTCGTGGTGTCAGGTGCCCTCCTCGTGTGTGTCAGGTGCCCTCCCGTGTGTGTCAGATGCCTAACTGTGTGTGTCAGGTGCCCCCCCATGTGTGTCAGATGCCCTCACTGTGTGTCAGGTGCCCTCCCCGTGTGTGTCAGGTGCCCTCCCGTGTGTGTCAGGTGGCCTCCCCGTGTGTGTCAGGTGCCTCCCCGTGTGTGTCAGGTGCCCTCGTGTGTGTCAGGTGCCTCCTCTGTTTGTGTCAGGTGCCCTCCTCATGTGTGTCAGGTGCCCTCCCGTGTGTGTCAGGTGCCCTCCCCCCGTGTGTGTCAGGTGCCCTCCCTCCCGTGTGTGTGTAAGGTGCCCTCCCCGTGTGTGTCAGGTGCCCTCCCTCCTTGTGTGTGTCAGGTGCCCTCCCCGTGTGTGTCAGGTGCCCTCCCGTGTGTGTCAGGTCCCTCCCCCCCTGTGTGTGTCAGGTGCCTCCCTCCTCGTGTGTGTCAGGTGCCCTCCTCATGTGTCAGTGTCCAGTGTGTGTCAGTGCCCCTGTGTGTCAGGTGCCTCCCTGTTGTGTGGCCCTAGTCCCTCCCCATGTGTGTCAGGTGCCCTCCTCGTGTGTGTCAGATGCCCTAACGTGTGTGTCAGTTGCCCTCCTAGTGTGTCAGGTGCCCTCCCGTGTGTTCAGGTGCCCTCCGTGTGTGTCAGGTGCCCTCCCTCGTGTGTGTCAGTCCCTCCCCGTGTGTGTCAGGTGTTCCTCCCGTGTGTGTAAGGTGCCCTCCCCGTGTGTGTCGGTGCCCTCCGTCAGGTGTGTGTGGTGTCCTCTGTGTGTGTCAGGTGTCCTCCCCGTGTTTCCTCCACGGTCGTGTTTTCTTCCTGTGTCCTGACGTAACTTTATATTGAAAAATGAATGAACAAATGACACATGGATTTGTATCAATATCACATTATATACAACAACAAAGAGTAAAAAAATATAAAATGGTAATAAAACTTAGTAGTAGCAATTAGAAGTGGAAGGGGAAGACACATGAAGCTGCACAGACAGGTCATCAGCATAAATATTGACAGTGTTGGGAGTATCGTGTTATAAAAGTAACAAATTACTGTAATCCATTGCTTTTTGCTGTAACGCAGTAATGTGGCATTACAGGGGAGAATTTATTTATATTTTACTTGGTACAAATGTGACGAACACACGTCACAATGCTTTTTAAACCTGGATTAAAGTGGTGCGTTTTTTCGTTTTTCTTCATACAAATTCACTAAAATCGCGGCGATATCAGCAGCAGTGAAACGCTGGAGACGCGCCCACGTAGACCGTCAGGTGACCGCGGGCGAAAGGACCGACGCAAAACTCCACACTCCACATCCAGAAAAAAACAGGAATATAGTGGCACCCCAGGAAATATACTGTTTTTAGGGCCCAGGAGAGATCGCTAGATTACTCAAACATGCATGGATGACTGTAAAACATCAGGTAGATTTTTGATGATGATAAAATAAAATGATGTTGCAGAAAAGCCACTCTTCAATCATTCAGATGTGGTCAGAACTGGGACTGGACCAGGTCTGGACCAGGTCTGGACTGGGTCTGGACCAGGTCTGGACCGGGTCTGGACCAGGACTCTTCATTCAGCCTGTGGAGCTGCAGGGGGCGCTGTGTGTCTTCTGATCGTGACTGAAGGTTCTCCGACGTTCTCATAAACAACTGTGTCCACCTGTCAATCACACACATGTGTCAGACCCTCCCCGTGTGTGTCAGGGGTCCTCCTCGTGTGTGTCAGATGCCCTCCTCATGTGTGTCAGGGGTCCACCCCGTGTGTGTCAGGTGCCCTCCCTCCCCATGTGTATCAGGTGCCCTCCTCCTTGTGTGTGTCAGGTGCCCTCCCCGTGTGTGTCAGGTGCCCTCCCCGTGTGTGTCAGGTGCCCTCCCTTGTGTGTCAGGTGCCCTCCCACCCGTGTGTGTCAGGTGCCCTCCCTGTGTGTGTCAGGTGCCCTCCCTCCAGGTGTGTGTCAGGTGCCCTCCCCGTGTGTGTCAGGTGCCCTCCCACCCCGTGTGTGTCAGGTGCCCTCCCTGTGTGTGTCAGGTGCCCTCCCTCCCCGTGTGTGTCAGATGCCCTCCCTGTGTGTCAGGTTCCCTCTCCGTGTGTGTCAGGTGGCCTCCTCATGTGTGTCAGGTGCCCTCCCCTTGTGTGTCAGGTGCCCTCCCCTTGTGTGTCAGGTGTCTCCCCGTGTGTGTCAGGTGCCCTCCGTGTGTGTCAGGTGCCCTCCCCGTGTGTGTCAGGTGCCCTCCCTCCCCGTGTGTGTCAGGTGCCCTCCCGTGTGTGTCAGGTGCCCTCCCCGTGTGTGTCAGGTGCCCTCCCTCCCCGTGTGTGTCAGGTGCCCTCCCTCCCCGTGTGTGTCAGGTGTCCTCCCCGTGTGTGTCAGGTGCCCTCCCCGTGTGTGTCAGGTGTCCTCCCCGTGTGTGTCAGACCCTCCCCGTGTGTGTCAGGGGTCCTCCTCGTGTGTGTCAGATGCCCTCCCTCCCCATGTGTATCAGGTGCCCTCCTCCTTGTGTGTGTCAGGTGCCCTCCCGTGTGTGTCAGGTGCCCTCCCACTCCTCCCCGTGTGTGTCAGGTGCCCTCCCTGTGTGTGTCAGGTGCCCTCCCTCCCGTGTGTGTCAGATGCCCTCCCTGTGTGGTCAGGTTCCCTCTCCGTGTGTGTCAGGTGGCCTCCTCATGTGTGTCATCAGGTGCCCTCCCCTTGTGTGTCAGGTGCCCTCCCTTGTGTGTCAGGTGTCCTCCCGTGTGTGTCAGGTGCCCTCCGTGTGTGTCAGGTGCCCTCCCCGTGTGTGTCAGGTGCCTCCCCGTGCCCGTGTGTGTCAGGTGCCCTCCCGTGTGTGTCAGGTGGTGTGTGTCCCTCCCCGTGTGTGTCAGGTGCCCTCCCTCCCCGTGTGTGTCAGGTGCCCTCCTGTGTGTGTCAGGTGCCCTCCCTCCCCGTGTGTGTCAGATGCCCTCCCGTGTGTGTCAGGTTCCCTCCCCGTGTGTGTGTCAGGGGTCCTCCCGTGTGTGTGTCAGATGCCCTCCTCGTGTGTGTCAGGGGTCCACCCCGTGTGTGTCAGGTGCCTCCCTCCCCATGTGTATCAGGTGCCCCTCCCCCTTGTGTGTGTCAGGTACCCTCCCCGTGTGTGTCAGGTGCCCTCCCCGTGTGTGTGTCAGGTGCCCTCCCCTTGTGTGTCAGGTGCCCTCCCCCCGTGTGTGTCAGGTGCCCTCCCTGTGTGTGTCAGGTGCCCTCCCTTCAGTGTGTGTCAGGTGCCCTCCCCGTGTGTGTCAGGTGCCCTCCTCAGTGTGTCAGGTGCCCTCCCCTTGTGTGTCAGGTGCCCTCCCGTTGTGTGTCAGGTGTCCCCTCCCCGTGTGTGTCAGGTGCCCTCCCGTGTGTGTCAGGTGCCCTCCCCGTGTGTGTCAGGTGCCCTCCCTCCCCGTGTGTGTCAGGTGCCCTCCCGTGTGTGTCAGGTGCCCTCCCCGTGTGTGTCAGGTGCCCTCCCTCCCCGTGTGTGTCAGGTGCCCTCCTCCCCGTGTGTGTCAGGTGTCTTCCCCGTGTGTGTCAGGTGCCCTCGTGTGTGTGTCAGGTGTCCTCCCCGTGTGTGTCAGACCCTCCCCGTGTGTGTCAGGGGTCCTCCTCGTGTGTGTCAGATGCCCTCCTCATGTGTGTCAGGGGTCCACCCGTGTGTGTCAGGTGCCCTCCCTCCCCATGTGTATCAGGTGCCCTCCCTCCTTGTGTGTGTCAGGTGCCCTCCCCGTGTGTGTCAGGTGCCCTCCCCGTGTGTGTCAGGTGCCCTCCCCTTGTGTGTCAGGTGCCCTCCCACCCCGTGTGTGTCAGGTGCCCTCCCCCTTGTGTGTCAGGTGCCCTCCACCCCGTGTGTGTCAGGTGCCCTCCCTGTGTGTGTCCCTCCCCCAGGTGCGTGTCAGGTGCCCTCCCCGTGTGTGTCAGGTGCCCTCCACCCCGTGTGTGTCAGGTGCCCTCCCTGTGTGTGTCAGGTGCCTCCCTCCCCGTGTGTGTGTCAGATGCCCTCCCTGTGTGTCAGGTTCCCTCTCCGTGTGTGTCAGGTGGCCTCCTCATGTGTGTCAGGTGCCCTCCCCTTGTGTGTCAGGTGCCCTCCCCTTGTGGGTCAGGTGTCCCTCCCCGTGTGTGTGTCAGGTGCCCTCCCGTGTGTGTCAGGTGCCCTCCCCGTGTGTGTCAGGTGCCCTCCCTCCCCGTGTGTGTCAGGTGCCCTCCGGTGTGTGTCAGGTGCCCTCCCCGTGTGTGTCAGGTGCCCTCCCTGTGTGTCAGGTGCCCTCCCTCCCCGTGTGTGTCAGGTGCCCTCCCTCCAGGTGTCCCCGTGTGTGTCAGGTGTCCCTCGCCGTGTGTGTCAGGTGTCCCCCCCGTGTGTGTCAGGTGCCCTCCCTGTGTGTGTCAGGTGCCCTCCCTCCCCGTGTGTGTCAGATGCCCTCCCTGTGTGTCAGGTTCCCTCTCCGTGTGTGTCAGGTGGCCTCCTCATGTGTGTCAGGTGCCCTCCCTTGTGTGTCAGGTGTCCTCCCCGTGTGTGTCAGGTGTCCTCCCTCCCCGTGTGTGTCAGGTGCCCTCCCGTCTGTGTCAGGTGCCCTCCCCATGTGTGTCAGGTGCCCTCCTCCCCGTGTGTGTCAGGTGCCCTCCCGTGTGTGTCAGGTGCCCTGCCCCGTGTGTGTCAGGTGCCCTCCCCGTGTGTGTCAGGTGCCCTCCTCCCCGTGTGTGTGTCAGGTGCCCTCCCTCCCCTGTGTGTGTCAGGTGCCTCCCCGTGTGTGTCAGATTGCCCTCCCCGTGTGTGTCAGGTGCCCTCTCCCGTGTGTGTCAGATGCCCTCCCCGTGTGTGTCAGGTGCCCTCCCTCCCCGTGTGTGTCAGGTGCCTCCCCGTGTGTGGTCAGGTGTCCTCCCCGTGTGTGTCAGCTGTCCTCCCCGTGTGTGTCAGGTGCCCTCCCTCCCCGTGTGTGTCAGGTGTCCTCCCCGTGTGTGTCAGGTGCCTCCCCGTGTGTGTCAGGTGCCCTCCCGTGTGGTGTCAGGTGTCCCGTGTGTGTCAGGTGCCCTCCCCGTGTGTGTCAGGTGCCTCCCCCGTGTGTGTCAGGTGCCCTCCCCGTGTGTCAGGTGCCCTCCCCGTGTGTGTCAGATGCCCTCCCTGTGTGTCAGGTTCCCTCTCCGTGTGTGTCAGGTGGCCTCCTCATGTGTGTCAGGTGCCCTCCCCTTGTGTGTCAGGTGCCCTCCCCTTGTGTGTCAGGTGTCCTCCCCGTGTGTGTCAGGTGCCCTCCCGTGTGTGTCAGGTGCCCTCCCCGTGTGTGTCAGGTGCCCTCCCTCCCCGTGTGTGTCAGGTGCCCTCCCGTGTGTGTCAGGTGCCCTCCCCGTGTGTGTCAGGTTCCTCCCTCCCTCCCCGTGTGTGTCAGGTGCCCTCCCCGTGTGTGTCAGGTGCCTCCGTGTGTGTCAGGTGTCCCTCCCCGTGTGTGTCAGGTGCCCTCTCCGTGTGTGTCAGGTGCCCTCCCCATGTGTGTCAGGTTCCCTCTCCGTGTGTGTCAGGTGGCCTCCTCATGTGTGTCAGGTGCCCTCCCCTTGTGTGTCAGGTGTCCTCCCCGTGTGTGTCAGGTGCCCTCCCGTGTGTGTCAGGTGCCCTCCCCCATGTGTGTCAGGTGCCCTCCCTCCCCGTGTGTGTCAGGTGCCCTCCCGTGTGTGTCAGGTGCCCTCCCCGTGTGTGTCAGGTGCCCTCCCTCCCCGTGTGTGTCAGGTGCCCTCCCTCCCCATGTGTGTCAGGTGTCCTCCCCGTGTGTGTAAGGTGCCCTCCCTCCCGTGTGTGTCAGGTGTCCTCCCCGTGTGTGTCAGGTGCCCTCCCTCCCCGTGTGTGTCAGGTGCCCTCCCCGTGTGTGTCAGGTGTCCTCCCCGTGTGTGTCAGGTGCCCTCCCCGTGTGTGTCAGGTGCCCTCCCCGTGTGTGTCAGGTGCCCTCCCGTCCCATTCTTACTCTGGTCAGGTTCCTCTGAGTTTTCTGCCCTGAAACAAACAAAAAAACATCAGGTTTATGTTGTTTTAAGATGTTTTTAAACCAGGACTAAACCAGGACTAAACCAGGACTAAACCAGGACTAAACCAGGACTAAACCAGGTAAACCAGGACTAAAGCAGGACTAAACCAGGACTAAACTAGGTCTAAACCAAGTCTAAACCAGGACTAAACCAGGACTAAACCAGGTCTAAACCAGGACTAAACCAGGTCTAAACCAGGTCTAAACCAGGACTAAACCAGGACTAACCAGGTCCAGGACTAAACCAGGTCTAAACCAGGACTAAACCAGGACTAAACCAGGTCTAAACCAGGAACTAAACAGGACTAAACCAGGTCTAAACCAGGACTAAACCAAACTAAACCAGGACTAAACCAGGTCTAAACCAGGACTAAACCAGGACTAAACCAGGAAACCAGAACTAAACCAGGACTAAACCAGGTCTAAACCAGGGACTAAACCAAGGACTGGTCTAAACCAGGTCTAAACCAGGACTAAACCAGGACTGTACCTTGGATCCTGGTGTAGATCAGAGTCACAGTGAGGCAGAGGAGCAGAGCAGTGAAGAGCAGACTGAGCACCACGTGTCTCACCGTCACACCTGAGGAGAAGGTCAGAGGTCATACATTCTATTGACCTTGGGAAAACCTCCACCTTGAGAAAGTGAAATGGATCGGCCGATTAAATCGAGGTTTGAAACACAAACTCAGAGTCGTTCGGCTCAGACTGAGTCGGTTGGATTTACGTCAGAGTAAAAATGTGGGCGCACACAGTAAACGAGGAGAAGTGTCTTTTCATCATTTCCATCTGTTCAGTTGTGTCTGTGTAGAGAAAGTGTCTCTAAAAACTAAAGTCAAACCTGTTACCTTTGAACCCAGAGCCGTTCGGTCCTCAGAGTCTGGAGCATCTGTCGGGTTTGTGGTTGTTTGATCTGAAAATAGAAAAATATCTTATGTCAGATGCCCTTCCATCCTCCTGTATCCGTGTGTCAGATGCCCTCCCACTCCCATCCTCTTATGTCCCTCTGTGTCAGATGTTCAGATGTTTCTCCTGGTCTCACCTCGGCTCTTGGAGTTCTCACGTTCAAAGCTGAACACCTCAGTCTGATCTCCAACAGTCACTTCACATGTGAACAGATGTTTGTTCTGATGAAGGAAATGATCAAGAGTGAAGACGACTTCATTCTGTGATATCTGCTGTAAACCTGGATTGTTTTGGTTCAGGACTCGACCCTGAAGAATCAACCTGACAGTGACTCCAGGGAGACGGGAGGAGACAGCACAGCGGAGCTTCAGACTCTGTTCCTCCTCTTCCTCAGTCACTGAAACACACACAGCACCTCATAACTCTCCCATATTCTGTTTTCAGACTTTTTGACTTGACTTAAATAATGTATTAATAATGGTTTTAATATGCACTGTCCATAAATAAAAGTTTATATCAGTCGTAATAATAAAAGATTTTCTTCATATTGCACATTTGAAAACAAATGTCAAAGTGCCACAGTCGGTTTAAAATAAAGAAAAGAGAAGTTCTTCAGAGCTGTCCACAAACCCACTGAGGTTTCATGTTTTGTGGTGTTGTTGTCGTCACTGATCACATGAGCTGTGGAGATGTGACAGAAAACAGAGAAGAACAAAACTAAATATAAACTATGATCAAATAAAGACATGTTCAAAATAAGATTTCAATAAAACTATGACAAAAATGACCAGTTTGGACAAAAAACTGTGCTACAATTTCACACAAACAATTGATACTTTGCAAAGACGTCGCACTGGGGGTGTTCTACATGTATGTCTATTGTGAAACATTCAGCGGTGACCTCTGGTTAAAATCTAACAGAGTAACAGAGCAGTGCCTCCAGTTAGAATCACTCTCCCAGAGAATGTTGATGAAATCAGCTGCAAAGTATCAGTAAAGTTCAGGTGTGTTAAAGCACTCACATGAAACCACAGACAGATGAACTGAAGACTGAGAGATGAATGATCCTTCTTCTCTTTCATACTGTTCACATTGGAAGGTTCCAGCCTCCTGAGGACGGACGTGTTGGATCCTCAGACCACACTGTTCTGTCAGTGTGAGACGCTCGGACAGAAGCTCAGAGACACTGGAGTTGATCTGTCCCAGACTGATCAGCTCCACAGTCCGTGATCCACCAGCTGGAACAAAAGTCCATGTGGTCTTTCTGCACAAACTCTGTCCTGGTTCAACATTGGGACAAGTTAAAACAGCGTCTGCTCCTTCTCTCACCAACACAGACCGAGACAGAGACGAATCTGTGGAGAAAAAAAAGTGACTTCCTTCTGTTCTATTTCTCTATCAGCAGGGGTCAGTCATAACCAGAACTAAACCAGAACTAAACCAGGACTAAACCAGGACTGAACCAGGACCAAAATAAAAACTAAGCAATCAAAGAATTTACAGGATTTAAAATAATCTGGAAGCAAAAACATATGTCTGACTGTGCAGTAAAGAATCAGGAGCAGGAGCACTGGGGTGTCCCTGTCCTGTGTCCCTGTCCTGTGTCCCTGTCCTGTGTCCCTGTGTCCCTGTGTCCTGTCCTGTGTCCCTGTCACCTCCTTTTTCTCTGAGATCTACACTTCTGCTTTTGACCCACACCTTCTGTGAAACTGTCTTTAGCTCTGTTCTAATTCCGTCTTCCTCAGAAACACACATTTGTGTTTCACAGTTTAAAGACGTCATATTCAGCTAAATTGATTTTCTAGAGTTTTCTATCATGTTTTAATGTTGTTCTCTCATCAAAAAACCTGCCAGAAGAGAAAAACCTGCCGAAAACCTCCTCTGCTCCTGTCAGTGGGGATCAGTTACAACCAGAACTGAACCAGATCTAAACCAGGACTAAACCAGGACTAAACCAGGACTAAACCAGGACTAAACCAGGTCTGACCCAGGACCAAAATAAAAACTAAGCAATCAAAGAATTTACAGGATTTAAAATAATCTGGAAGCAAAAAGTAAAACATATGTCTGACCTGCGCAGTGAAGAATCAGGAGCAGGAACACTGGGGTGAACACAGCCATCGCCTCCTGTGTCCCTGTCCTGTGTCCCTGTCGTGTGTCCCTGTCGTGTGTCCCTGTCGTGTGTCCCTGTCGTGTGTCCCTGTCGTGTGTCTCTGTCTCCTCTGTGTCTCTGAACTGTCCTCAAAAGTCCTGTCACCACCTTTATGTCTCAGATCTGTACTGCGCTTCTGCCTTTAACCCACATCCTCTTTGAAACTGTCTTTTAGCTCTGTTCTAATTCTGTCTTCCTCAGAAACACAGACGTCATATTCTATAAAACACTCACTGTGTGTTGAGTCCAGCGCGGTGACCAGGCTCAGGCTGTGACAGAGGTTCATATGGAGAACACACTGCACACTCACTGCAGCCTGAATAAAACGCCACAGAAATGTTATTGGATCACAGATTCATGTGTTTATAGGAAATAATTTAAGAAAATATATGACTTACTGTTATGAGTCTTGGCCCTTTGATGTATTATTGTAAGCGACATTTCTATTTCCTGTCTCACTCCAGACTTTTATTGTGAAAACGGAAGTGAGCTCGGGCAGTTCTGAAAACGTTCTACTGCACCGTGTGGTGATGAGACGGAGCTGTCAGCTTCTCCTGGAGGCAGCCTGAACAGAGGATGTTAAGAAAGAGGCTTGGAGAGTTAGAACAGGTCTCACATGTCTCTTTATTTGAGTCAGGCAGGTTCAGGTCTCAAGATTCAAGTTGATTCAGCATGATTTTGCCTACACGGCGTCTCTCAGTGCATCAGTCGTCCTTCGACAACGCGGTCGGCGTTTCCCCCACTCATGCACAGAAACACTGGGTGCCTTTTTATACCAGCATAACTGTTGAGTTAACATCTTTATGGAAAAATACACAGCAGTTTTGTCCCAACACGTGTCCCATAACAGACTGACAGATGCTAAAGGTTGGAGACACACCCCTTATCTGTCCCATATACATTCACCATTGACATCATATCCCAACCCCATGGACACTCCAAAGTCCAAAAACATACACGGCATGTAACAGGGCAAATTACAGGGCGTATTAACATATGAATGAAACTTTAAAAACACAGGGTAGAAGCCCACAACACACACACACAGACACAGACAGACACACACACACACAGACAGAGACAGACACACACAGACACAGACAGACACACACACACACACACACACACACACACAGACACACACACACACTCATCCAAGAAATCCATAAGATTTCATAACTATTGTGTTCTAGATGTTCCAAATCCCAAATTGTGCTTGTTTATGTGCAGAAGATACAATGTGAAAATAGTTAGTTTGCATGAGATGGGCCCTTTAAGTCTGTGAAGGTTCCAGACAGACCCTGGACTCAGAGTGTTCATAAGGCCTGGGTTATTCCTCTGTTGTCTGACGGGGACACCACTGATCCTGTGGAGATTCACGACTGCTGCTGCTTTACAACACAATAATCGTACTTCTTCTGTCAGTGAGGTGTGGGTTTTGTTTTTGGTGGAAGTGTCAAAGAGGACCAACAATGTGAGATCTAAAATCAGAGAGCTTTATTGAGTCTCACACAGGTAAATCTAGCAGCATCCAAGCTAAAATGAACAGCGTAAGTACGGCCCCTCCAGAAAAAGGAAAAGGAGAGCCCTGAGATATGTTTGTTTACAGTTTTTATAGTGTGTATCAGGGCACCCACAGGAACTCAAACGCCAGTGGATTCTATTGTATTCTATGTGTGTGCGTCTTATTGGTATTCACGCGTCATTAACTTTTATTTTTCATTTTGTAAAGTGCATTGATATATGTGGATACTTAATAGAGGATAAGCATCTTATAAAAGTGAAATTGCACACAGTTTATGCGGCTTTGGGCTGCGCGCTAGTCCACCCCAGGCTTCGATGTCCAGTTCCTCCTCTGTAACACCAGGGGGCGCAGTGAACCGGAAATGCTGCATCAGAGTCACAAAGAAGATAAAGAGCTCCATCCGGACCAGACCTTCTCCAACACAAACTCTGTGACCTGCAATGTCAAAGTCCCAAAGAAGCGAGTCACATTTAAGTGTATTTTAATGGGGTCTGATATCAGCCTATGGGTAGTTTTCAGACTTCTCGAAAGTGATAATGTCATGTCTGAGATGAGGCTATAGTTAGTTGAGTGAGCCCAAAATGATATCTCTCTTGCACAAACATAAACGTGGGAGTGAAGTGTCTTGCCCAATTGCACAACAGCAGCATGCAGGAGTCAGACATTTGGATTGCTGGGTGACTCCTCTTAGCTCTACTACTTTACAATTCCAATTTTGCATTAAAAATATGACTCTGGGATCAAGTGTATTCTGACATCCCAGTTCTAAAGATTGGTTCATTTTACTAGAGACTTTACAGACCTGCAGAGAAGGGCATGAAGGCGTCTCTCTTCCTGAACTTTCCGTCTTTGTGGAGGAAGTGAGCTGGATAGAAACTGTGGGGCTGTTCCCATTCGCTCTCGTCAAAGAGCACTGAGGCCAACACAGGATACACTGTGGTCCCCTGAGGTCACATGTAAAGTGTTTGAGTAGTTTACGAGATCAGATATGTTTAAAAATTGACTTTTACCTTCTTGATGAAGTGTCCCTGGAAGGTGACATCTCGACTCGTTCTGTGGGACAGGTTCATTGGGACGACGTTGGCCATTCTCTGACTCTCGTGGATCACTGCGTCGGTGAACGGCAGATCTTTTCTGTCCTGAAACCGCACCTGTCGAGTTCCGATCACCCTGTTGATCTCTTCATGGACCTGATCTAAGAGACGCAGCAAGAACCAGTAGTTTATAGACACTGTACAAAACACTGAACTCAGAACCTACGACAGGAGTCTGTTTGTGGACTTCAGTTCACCAAGTGCTGCACCACGACTTTGTAAAACTGATACCACCCTCACTGGGCTCACTTCAGACGGCAATGATTTAGCGCTGAACGATCGTTTTGGACCGAGAATCGCGACCTCAGACAACACGATTTTGGGAGCCCAAAGCTGTTTTTTTTTTTGTTTGTTTTTTGCACTGCTTCTAAAGGCCAATTTAATTCTGAGTCGACTCAATGCACACTCCCACCATCACCTTGTCGCCATCGTATTTCTTGGGGTTCACATCTCTTCGGATCTCTCCTGGTCAGTCAACACCTCAGCACTGGTCAAAAAGGGCCAGCAGCGGCTACACTTCCTGAGGTGCTCAGGAAGGAGAAACTAAACACAAGCCTGCTGGTGACCTTTTATCGTTCCACCATTGGTCGCCTGCTGACCTCTGCTGTGACAGTACAGCACTCTCTCGCTGCACAGAAGCTGACAGGAAGCGCCTGCAGAGGGTGACCAGCACTGTACAGGACACTGTTGGCTGCCCTCTGCCTTCCTTAAGAAAATTATACAACTCCCACTGTCTCAGCAGAGCAAGGAAAATCATTTAGGACAATACACACACCCTGGATTCCACCTGTTCAAACTGTTGACTTCTAGGCAGGCACTTTAGGTCAATTCCAGCTAGGACCAATAGACTCAGGGACAGCTCCTTCCCCAAAGCTGTCGCCATAATCAATGAGAACTGTTAATTTCTTTCATTTATTAATTAATTAATTCTTGCACTTTGACGGAGCAGCTCTGAATTTTATTATACTATTGTATAATGACAATAAAGGCTTTCTATTCTATTTGATTTATGGATCTTGCTTCGAGGTCCATGCACCACAAAGTAATTCAGCATCACAACACTAGGAGGCGACGATTTAAACCTGGTGTTCATGTAAAGTTTAACATGAACCATTTCCAACGTGATAGAAGCACGGAAAAGACTCACCATCAGCAGCACATCCTCTGTCACAGAAAGAACACTCATATTCCACTGAGTCGTGTCCTTTAGTCCAACAGAAGCTGAACCACATCAGCAGTTTTTTTTTTTTTTTTTCAGTTCTTATAGTTTATGTAAATGAGTCATGTGGTTTTAAGTTTTGTTTCTGTAACACGTAAACAAATGTGTCAAAGCTGCTTTAAACACATTATTACTGATTATTGAAAGAAAGAAAAGCGGAGAACAGGAAATGTCTGTAGAACGATGGTAGAGACGCCCAATCACAGCTCTTACTGTCTGCGTAAAATATAGTTAATATGATTAACTGAGATTCAGGAGTGGGACGACGCCTCAACCGCCCTCTTTCTTCTCCTCTCACCAGCGAACCACAACTCACCTCGGCCACACCTCTAATTTCTTAGAAGCCTATTTTTAGCAGCATTTCC